CTTTTGTGTTTGTGAATTTGTACAAACTGGAAACTTTTTTTGTATCGGCAATTTAATACAAGACCTAACCTATACTCTACTTGCAATACCAGGCCTAATACACGCTATCGTAGGCCTAACATAGTACATATATGTGTTGTGCTAGGCCTAGGCTGATTTATGTTTGGTTATTAACTTTTATTTTTTTCCGAACTCAACACAATACTACAAAAAGTTGTTCAGTGTTGGTCCATCTGTTCATAATGGTACCCTCCACTAAATGGTTAGTAGTATAAGTACTATCATGTGAGGGGAATGGGTGGTGAGTTCATGGGTTATCTTGTAATACTTGGTCCAGAAGACCTGGTTGGTGGTGGTGGGGCACCATTTGGTCACCATTTGGTCCGGGAGACATCTCCCGTCACGCAGGGTGCAGTTGCGCCTCCACAGATCTCCAGTATCATCTTTTGATACTGGTAATGGCTCAAAAGGGCCACCACTTACGGGCTATTCATGCCCGTGCCACCTCTTGGGTGGCTTAATCTTCATCAATCAATCGACCTGGTTGGTGCGGCCTGCAGGCCCACACGACCTCATAATGAGAGTACGGCGCTAAGCTTCAGGTGGAAGGTGCCAAGACACCTGCAGGATTCCTTCATCTTGTGTGATCAGATTCCTGGTACAAAGGTCGGCAGCAATAATCTCCGGACTAGAGACAGCTGCGCCAACTCACGCCGCTTCTGCTTGTTTCTGTGTCACTGTCAACCACAAGGCCGGCCGCCGGTGGCTGCCGCCGGCACACTGCCCCGCACACCAAAAATATGTTAGTGTTTGTGGGCGCACCGTGGGAGCACTTGCCGCGCGCGTGTGTGTAGTGAGGTGGATAAGGTGCATGTGTGGGTGGGAAGGATAGGGTGCATGTGTGGGTGGGAAGGATAGGGTGCATGTGTGGGTGGGAAGGATAGGGTGCATGTGTGGGTGGGAAGGATAGGGTGCATGTGTGGGTGGGAAGGATAGGGTGCATGTGTGAGTGGGAAGGATAGGGTGCATGTGTGAGTGGGAAGGATAGGGTGCATGTGTGGGTGGGAAGGATAGGGTGCATGTGTGAGTGGGAAGGATAGGGTGCATGTGTGAGTGGGAAGGATAGGGTGCATGTATGGGTGGGAAGGATAGGGTGCATGTGTGAGTGGGAAGGATAGGGTGCATGTGTGAGTGGGAAGGATAGGGTGCATGTGTGGGTGGGAAGGATAGGGTGCATGTGTGAGTGGGAAGGATAGGGTGCATGTGTGGGTGGGAAGGATAGGGTGCATGTGTGAGTGGGAAGGATAGGGTGCATGTGTGGGTGGGAAGGATAGGGTGCATGTGTGGGTGGGAAGGATAGGGTGCATGTGTGGGTGGGAAGGATAGGGTGCATGTGTGGGTGGGAAGGATAGGGTGCATGTGTGGGTGGGAAGGATAGGGTGCATGTGTGGGTGGGAAGGATAGGGTGCATGTGTGGGTGGGAAGGATAGGGTGCATGTGTGGGTGGGAAGGATAGGGTGCATGTGTGGGTGGGAAGGATAGGGTGCATGTGTGGGTGTAATAGCACACAAAATAAGGTCAATGGAAATAACTGGTAAAGTAGGACGCTGGATGCTCAACTTTCTATCGAACAGAACACAGCGTAACAGTCAACCATATAAAATCGACTCCAAGCACAGTTAAAAGCTCTGTACCGCAGGATACAGTCCGTGCACCACAGCTTTTTCTTATTCTCATATCAGATATAAACTCAAATACAAGTCACATCTTCGTATCGTCCTTCGCAGATGACACAAAAATTACCTCTGTTGAAGACATTGAAAAACTACAAGCAGATATTAATACAGTTTCGACTGGGCAGCAGAAAATAACATGTTTGATAAATTCCAGGTACTCAGGTACGGTAAAAATGAGGACCTTAAACATAATACAGGGTACAAAACACAATCAAATGAGCCCATAGTAGGAAAATAGCATGTAAAGGATTTGGGAATAATAATGTCTGACGACCTAACGTTTAGGGAGCATAACCAAGCAAATATTGCATCGGCAAGAAAAAATGATCGGATGGATTACGAGAACTTTCAAATCTAGGGATCCCATCACAATGGTTGTACTCTTCAAATCACTTGTGCTGTTCCGTCTTGAGTACTGCTCAGTACTCACTTCCCCCTTCAGAGCAGGAGAGATTGCTGAAATAAAGGGAATACAGAGAACATATATCCATACATAGACGCGATAAAGCACCTAAATTATTGGGATCGTCTCAAAGTTCATCAAATTTACTCATTAGAAAGGAGACGAGAGAGAGATCAAATAATATACACCTGGAAGATACTGGAGAGTCAGGTCCCAAATCTGCACAGTAAAATATGCTGGAGTGCTGGAGTGAACGATATGGAAGAAAATGCAGAATAGAACCAGTGAAGAGCAGAGGTGCCATAAGCACAATCAGAGAACACTATAAACATCAGAGGTCCGCGGTTGTTCAATATCCTCCCAGCGAGTATAAGAAATATTACCGGAACAACCGTGAACATCTTCAAGAGAAAACTAGATAATTTTCTCCAAGGAGTACCGGACCAACCGGGCTGTGGTGGATATGTGGGCCTGCGGGCCGCTCCAAGCAACAGCCTGGTGGACCAAGCCCTCACAAGTTAAACCTGGCTTCAGGCCGGGCTTGGAAAGTAGAAGAACTCCCAGAATCCCATCAAGCAGGTATCCGGGCCTATAGCCTTTGTCACTTCCAACTCTAGCAGATGCTTCCTCACCTCCCCACTGGCAATCATAAACTCATTTAGTTGTGTTTGGTTAGATCTTCCCTCTCCTATCTCTGGGACTTCACCTTCCCTACTGTGAAGACCTGAAATTTCTTATTGAGTTCCTCGTACCTCCTTGTCGTTTGTAGTGAATCTGTCTGCCCCTATCCTCAGTTTCATTACTTGTTCCTTCACTGATGTTTTTCTCCTGATGTGGCTGTGCAGCAATTTATGTTGCCTTGAGTCTTTGCCTTGCTTGCTATGTCATTTTCATATTGTCTTTCTGCCTCTCTTCTCACCCTGACGTATTCATTCCTGGCGCTCTGGTATCTTTCTCTGCTCTCTAGTGTCCTATTATTTCTATAGTTACTCCACGCCCTTGTACGTATTTGCTTTCCTAGCTTACATCTCTGATTAAACCATGGGTTTTTCGTCTGCATTTAATTTCTTTTCTTTTGGACTGGGACGAACTTGTCTGCTGCCTCCTTACACTTATGTGTGATGTAGTCCATCATATCTTGCGTCGTCTTAACTCTGAGCTTTGTTTCCCAAGATATATCTGTTAGGAATTTTCTTGTATCCTCATAGTGTCCCTTTCAGAATGCTAGCCTGTTGTTTTCAGGGCCCTAACTTGAGTATATTAACCCTTCGACCAAATACTCAAACATCAGTACGCTGTGATCGCTCATTCCCACAGGGGCTTCAAAGCCGATTTCCCTTATGTTTGAGTCGTTCAGAGTGAAGACTAGGTCGAGTCTCGCTGCTTCATTGTTGCCTCTCATTCTTGTGTGTTCCCTGACATTGTGTGTGTGAGAGGGAGTACTATGTTTGAAGAGTGCAGGTGTGTGTGTGTGTGTGTGTGTGTGTGTGTGTGTGTGTGTGTGTGTGTGTGTGTGTGTGTGTGTGTGTGTGTGTGTGTGTGTGTTATAGGGGTTGATGATGTCAGAGAGGATGGGCAGGACAAGTGATGTGACCTTTCCACACCCCTTCTCTACCGCGGCCTCCAGCGCCCTAGTTGAGGCAGGTGTGAGCCAACCAGGCGGCGCTCATTATATCATCACACTCCCACTTTGGTCAATGTCACGGGTCGAGGAGTGCACCCCCTCCCCCCACCCCCACCACCCCGGGGGGGGGGCAGTGCTGTGTTGTTTCACATCACCACGTGCACCCACTCACCCCTCCCCCCCCCCCCCCCCGCCACCCCCCGGGGCCTGTGCTGTGTGGTCTCACATCACCACGTGCACCCGTCCCCCCCCCCTGAGAAAACAGAGAAAACAGCCAGGATGATCAGGGGTGCCACCACCCTTTGGAGGTGTTTATGAGGTTCCCTCCTGAGTAGTGTTAAGGGGGGGGGGGTTGTAGTGTCCCTTACACTTACAACAAGGGTGTTGACAAGCACAGGAATCTTACTGTTTATCAAATCCTCTTAAGTGTACTTATTGTATCCCTGCTTTTCAACGGGACATTTTTACAAATTGTGCCATCCCTCTGGCCTTGTAGGCTTTAAATCTCTCAAATTGTACTTGTTGAAGCTCGGGCGAGAGAAAATTATCATTATTTAGTCCTGGAAGATATTAAGTTTCATATCTACACACTAGAGTTGGTATTCTTATTGTCATTTCAATAACTATGAAGGGCCAAGGTTGTCAACAACCTTACAAAAAAAATCCATAGGCACTTGATCAACCGGGCTATGATTAACCAGGTCAGACTGATTAATCAGACGGAACAGTTGGTACAGTGGTCCTCAATAACCAAATAAAGGTAACCTCAAGGTACCCGGTGCATTTTTAAGGCTATGTTTAGGAAACTGGTGGGCCCTTGTAAAGAGGTTGGCGGCTCAAAGAACCGATCTCCGAGGTACATTAAAGAGGTTTGCATGACCTCTCCGGGTGGGTGGGGGGGGGGGGGGGTCACGGGCTCACCATAGCCCGTGCTACATGGACACTTCGTTCTGAGTAGTTAAATCTGAAACAACCACCACCACCTCTCCGTGTGATGTTGAAGCTGACTACTAAATGTTTGTGTTAATGAATGACCCGTGGTGGGACGAGGGCGACGGTGTAGTGTTGCTTCTGACAGCCATAGATGGTGTTTGATCTCTTGCTTTTGACGTTATATGTAACTGTTGTTGTGTTCCCCCGCCCCCCTGGTGGTTTGATCACCCCTCCTTCCCTCCCTCCTGGTGTTGACGCCAATGTTGCTCTTGTTGTGGTCCCATTATGTCGTGGTCTTCTGGTGTTACCTCTGGTGTGGCGTCTTGGTGTTATGGCCCTGGTGTAAGGCTCCCATGATGTTATGGCCCTGGTGTAAGGCTCCCATGATGTTATGGCCCTGGTGTAAGGCTCCCATGATGTTATGGCCCTGGTGTAAGGCTCCCATGATGTTATGGCCCTGGTGTAAGGCTCCCATGATGTTATGGCCCTGGTGTAAGGCTCCCATGATGTTATGGCCCTGGTGTGAGGCTCCCATGATGTTATGGCCCTGGTGTAAGGCTCCCATGATATTATGGCCCTGGTGTAAGGCTCCCATGATGTTATGGCCCTGGTGTGAGGCTCCCATGATGTTATGGCCCTGGTGTAAGGCTCCCATGATGTTATGGGCCTGGTGTAAGGCTCCCATGATGTTATGGCCCTGGTGTGAGGCTCCCATGATGTTATGGCCCTGGTGTAAGGCTCCCATGATATTATGGCCCTGGTGTAAGGCTCCCATGATGTTATGGCCCTGGTGTGAGGCTCCCATGATGTTATGGCCCTGGTGTAAGGCTCCCATGATATTATGGCCCTGGTGTAAGGCTCCCATGATGTTATGGCCCTGGTGTGAGGCTCCCATGATGTTATGGCCCTGGTGTAAGGCTCCCATGATGTTATGGGCCTGGTGTAAGGCTCCCATGATGTTATGGCCCTGGTGTGAGGCTCCCATGATGTTATGGCCCTGGTGTAAGGCTCCCATGATGTTATGGCCCTGGTGTACGGCTCCCATGATGTTATGGCCCTGGTGTAAGGCTCCCATGATGTTATGGCCCTGGTGTGAGGCTCCCATGATGTTATGGCCCTGGTGTAAGGCTCCCATGATGTTATGGCCCTGGTGTGAGGCTCCCATGATGTTATGGCCCTGGTGTAAGGCTCCCATGATATTATGGCCCTGGTGTAAGGCTCCCATGATGTTATGGCCCTGGTGTGAGGCTCCCATGATGTTATGGCCCTGATGTAAGGCTCCCATGATGTTATGGGCCTGGTGTAAGGCTCCCATGATGTTATGGCCCTGGTGTGAGGCTCCCATGATGATATGGCCCTGGTGTGAGGCTCCCATGATGTTATGGCCCTGGTGTGAGGCTCCCATGATATGGCCCTGGTGTGAGGCTCCCATGATGTTATGGCCCTGGTGTGAGGCTCCCATGATGTTATGGCCCTGGTGTGAGGCTCCCATGATGTTATGGCCCTGGTGTGAGGCTCCCATGATGTTATGGCCCTGGTGTGAGGCTCCCATGATGTTATGGCCCTGGTGTGAGGCTCCCATGATGTTATGGCCCTGGTGTGAGGCTCCCATGATGTTATGGCCCTGGTGTGAGGCTCCCATGATGTTATGGCCCTGGTGTGAGGCTCCCATGATGTTATGGCCCTGGTGTGAGGCTCCCATGATGTTATGGCCCTGGTGTGAGGCTCCCATGATGTTATGGCCCTGGTGTAAGGCTCCCATGATGTTATGGCCCTGGCGTGAGGTTCCCATGATGTTATGGCCCTGGTGTAAGGCTCCCATGATGTTATGGCCCTGGTGTGAGGCTCCCATGATGTTATGGGCCTGGTGTAAGGCTCCCATGATGTTATGGCCCTGGTGTAAGGCTCCCATGATGTTATGGCCCTGGCGTGAGGTTCCCATGATGTTATGGCCCTGGTGTAAGGCTCCCATGATGTTATGGCCCTGGTGTAAGGCTCCCATGATGTTATGGCCCTGGTGTAAGGCTCCCATGATGTTATGGCCCTGGTGTAAGGCTCCCATGATGTTATGGCCCTGGTGTAAGGCTCCCATGATGTTATGGCCCTGGTGTAAGGCTCCCATGATGTTATGGCCCTGGTGTAAGGCTCCCATGATGTTATGGCCCTGGTGTAAGACTCCCATGATGTTATGGCCCTGGTGTAAGGCTCCCATGATGTTATGGCCCTGGTGTAAGGCTCCCATGATGTTATGGCCCTGGTGTAAGGCTCCCATAATGTTATGGCCCTGGTGTAAGGCTCCCATGATGTTATGGCCCTGGTGTAAGGCTCCCATGATGTTATGGCCCTGGTGTAAGGCTCCCATGATGTTATGGCCCTGGTGTAAGGCTCCCATGATGTTATGGCCCTGGTGTAAGGCTCCCATGATGTTATGGCCCTGGTGTAAGGCTCCCATGATGATATGGCCCTGGTGTAAGGCTCCCATGATGTTATGGCCCTGGTGTAAGGCTCCCATGATGTTATGGCCCTGGTGTAAGGCTCCCATGATGATATGGCCCTGGTGTAAGGCTCCCATGATGTTATGGCTCTGGTGTAAGGCTCCCATGATGTTATGGCCCTGGTGTAAGGCTTCCATGATGATATGGCCCTGGTGTAAGGCTCCCATGATGTTATGGCTCTGGTGTAAGGCTCCCATGATGTTATGGCCCTGGTGTCTTTATCAGATGTTATGATCCCCTTTTGTGGATTTCTCATATTATATTCCTTGCAGTATGTCTGATGTTATGGGTGTTTTAGTGGCACTGATGTCGCCCCCTGATGTTGTGTGCTTCCCAGTGTTGTGGTCTCCCCTAGTGTTGTCTTCCCCCCCCCCCCCTAGCGTTGTGGGCTCTCTGGTGTTGTGGCACCCTAACGTGGCACTTTAATGTTTCGGTGAAATCTGTACCATTATTATTCTCTCTAATATTATGCTTAATCAAATATGGACTTTCTCCTCATATGGGGGAGATGATGGTGTATTAACACACTGGATTACCGTAGCTAATGATTCATGATGAGAAATGTTGTTTGGTGGGTGTATTAGTTGAGAGAGGGCGTGGCTGTCATGGTTTGCACTTGTGGTTCCATATGAGTTAGTTGTAAGACTCGCTTCCTCCCAGCCTCGGCCGTTGTTCTCAGTCCTACCCAGGGTTGATGTCGCTGATGCTGTCGAGCTGTTAGTTGACACAACTGGTACGCGCGGTGGTGCAACTGTTGACGCAATTTATGCTAACCAGGAGGTGGTATTAACCAGGAGGCTTGGTCGGAGACACGAGCTAGCACATATACTGTGTATTTTAGAATGAAATGTGTCATTACACATGCTCGGGGTAGGCAGCAAAATCAGTAGCCTAGTAGATGTTCTCATAGCTCAAATACAACAGGACTACGGTTGTGTCAGGTAGTTCAGCTTTTACGAGGAACTGGGCAAGTTTCTGCTGGAGTTACCGGATCAACCTGGGTGTGACGGCTATGTTGTCCTTCAGGGCTATGAAGACAGCCTCACACACCAGAGAAGTGGAAGGACTCTGGAATTCGTCAACAAGTAATCAAGAGAACTAGATCAAGTGTAAAGTGTGTGGTGAAAGAGAGCATCGCACACAAAAGTTGAGTGTGTGATGTAAACTAATGTTTCTTAGTTTACATCACACACCTCGCACCATACTTCACCGTGCTCACCACATAATACCTGAAATTCAAATTTTATTTCTTCGTTATCTTTCGTGTTTTTAATTTTCTCGTATTATATTTCCTGTTCTGTTTCTCATTAACAGTCACTCTTCACGTTCTTTTTTCTTTTTCTCGTTTCCTTTCTTCGTTCACGTGTTCTTTCCTTGTTTGCATTTGCTTCGCAAGTTTTACTTCCTTTCCTTGTTCTGCCTTGGAGCACAAGGTATCCATGGTGGGTAGCTGGTGTTCTCAGCCTACCAGGTGAGCAGCAGCTGACCGTGGCTTGAGGAAACATACAGACTAGCGTGTTGTATGCTGTAGGAGGTGGTGTCCTGGGGATTAACCCTGTGTGTGTGTTGCTGCTAGGCTTAGGCTCGGCTACAAGTACCTCTGGAAGTTTGCACCTTCTGCTGATGTACATTTGACTAAATGTAAGCTCTGACAGCAGAATTATTCACATTGTGGCATTATATAATAAAATGCGAAAAAAACGCTGAATTCTGAAATAACACCATCAGTGGTGTCCATGAAATGTGTAAATATTTAGTTTATAATGATGTACTGCCAGGAATCTTAGCGAAGTATCCACAATTTGCTTTGCTCAGGTGTAGCCTGCACATGACTGTAAAGCTGGCGCGCAGTTGGGTGGGTGTGGAGCAAGACTAGTAACTGTGTGACTCACCATAGATGTAAAATGTCTTGCATAGAGACGAGACTGGGCCTCTTCTTAAATCAATTGATATAAAAAGACTATTGCTATATATATACAAGTAATATATACAGAAAAAAGAAGTTGTGTAACTAGCTTCACGAACTTGTTACTTGCTTAGCTAAACGAACTGTGTCCTGAAGCCATTATGTGCCTCTGTTAGACCTTTCCACCACCGCCCACGGGATGGGTATGAGGTGCATAATAAATGACTAGCTAACCTGTGGTTGTACTCCTCCCGACTGAGTTGTTCTTGATGGGTCGTCCAGGAGAGATTGTAAGCCTAACCTGTAGTTTAGATATATATAGGTATGCCCCTATGACCCACGGTGGCATAGGTATGCCCCTATGATCCACGGTGGCATAGGCATGCTCCTATGACCCACGGTGGCATAGGTATGCCCCTATGACCCACGGTGGCATAGGTATGCCACTATGACCCACGGTGGCATAGGTATGCCCCTATGACCCACGGTGGCATAGGTATGCCCCTATGATCCACGGTGGCATAGATATGCCCCTATGACGCACGGTGGCATAGGTATGCCCCTATGACTCACGGTGGCATAGGTATGCCCCTATGACCCACGGTGGCATAAGTATGCCACTATGACCCACGGTGGCATAGGTATGCCCCTATGACCCACGGTGGCATAGGTATGCCCCTATGACCCACGGTGGCATAGGTATGCCCCTATGACCCACGGTGGCATAGGTATGCCCCTATGACCCACGGTGGCATAGGTATGCCCCTATGACCCACGGTGGCATAGGAATTGTGTCAATCAGTTGTAATTACGGTGACATAACTTTATGAACTGGTTATTATTACGACTTTCGTCCATTTATTTTTGATGTTAGCTTCGTGTGGGTGTGGTGGAGGGGAAGAGGACGGCGTCATGGTGAGGTCTTTGTCACAGCGGCCGGAAGTGTCCACCGTCAGCCCCGTGTTATAGTGTTCGTTTCACCAAGACCTTCTCCACCTGCTCCACTCCACCAAGACCTTCTCCACCTGCTCCACTCCACCAAGACCTTCTCCGCCTGCTCCACTCCGCCAAGACCTTCTCCGCCTGCTCCACTCCACCAAGACCTTCTCCACCTGCTCCACTCCACCAAGACCTTCTCCGCCTGCTCCACTCCGCCAAGACCTTCTCCACCTGCTCCACTCCACCAAGACCTTCTCCACCTGCTCCACTCCACCAAGACCTTCTCCGCCTGCTCCACTCCACCAAGACCTTCTCCACCTGCTCCACTCCACCAAGACCTTCTCCACCTGCAGCAGTCTTACCTGGGACGCGGTCGGGTCAAGATACCTGCTCCGCACCTTCCCCCCCCCCTCCCCCCATGCTGGGTACTGAGATGGAGACTCAGTCACCAGAAGACATGGCTACTTCTCACGGCGTTATTAACATGGACCCTGAAAGCAGCCAGTCAGACGAGGAGGGCGAGTATCTAGAAGTTCTGACAAGGAATAAGAAGAAACGAAGAAGACAGGAGGCAAGGCGTAGTGTGGACAGTAATACACTTAACGGAAACGATAAAAGAATGAAGAACGACGCCGAGACTGATGCAGACAAACGGACGGAACGATGTCAGGAAGGTGAGGATCAGCGGAGATGGAGGCTTCTCTTCCCTGCCTCATGCACGTTGGCCTATCATCAAAAGCTGCTGTGGACCGTCAAACTCGGAAGAGAACACCGCAAGTTCGAGCCCCTGCTGAAGGAAGGTGTAAACAGACCTTACTTAACGGTAGGTTCTAGGGAGGCAGTGACGTTTCTTAGCCAGCAAGGATATGATGGAATTCTTATGGAAATACCGGAGGGGAACGAGAAGCTGACGAAGGTAATTATCTATAAATACCCTCAGATTCTGGACCCCGAGTTTATACTCGACGACCAACGATTTGTGTGGGCCAAGCGTCACCTTATTAAAGGTGAAGCTAGGAGTCAGGTGGTGGCTCTAGTGAGAGGTGACGTACCCGAAAAAGTGTTCATCACCGGGGCTGGCTACAGGCATGTAGCAAAGTATGTGGAAGAGCCCATAATATGCCTGAAATGCTGCAGATGGGGGCATAAATCCTGGAGCTGTCAAAATGATCCACGATGTCGTTTCTGCGGAAAGTCTCACCTCTCTACTGTGTGTAGAAACAGACTGAATCTGGGTGAGAAAATAGTTCCCAGATGCTGCAACTGTGGAGGTGTTCACAATGCGAGCTCGGCTGTGTGTAGCAAGAGGCCGAGTATGGCTGTTCTCCGGCCGGTGAATGTTACAGAGCAAGCAAGAGCTCTTACCCAGACACCGGGAGCACAGCAAAACAGTCTGCCCCAAACAGTGCCAGTGAACCGGACGAATGCGTGGGTAAAGGAGTCACCTTTACTTAGGCAGGCTCCAGCAACAAGCAGCCACGCCACCACTCAGGACTCCGGCAGTGACAGTGTAACGGTGAGTGAAGTGGCTACTGTGGCTCAGAGAGAGGGTCATAATAATATGGTCAAGGAAGTGTGGGCTGAACTTAAAAAAGTTGGTGAGTTCCTCCAAAATCTGGGGCAGAGAATCGAGTCCATCGAGGCTAAATTAAACGTTCAGGAGGTCAAGGAAAATCACAAAACGGTGAAGGATAATCAGGATATAGTGGTTGAGGACAAAAATGAAATATTGAGTGATGAAATGAAGGAAAGTGAAGTGTGTGTGAATGATGGTAGTCGTAGTGAAAGGAAGAACCCTATAATTACACATAAAATGAAGGAATCATTTGGGCCAATAATGGACATCTCAGGGCTGAAAAAATCTCTTGAGAATCGCAATGTCGCTTTTACTGGTGAACTTGGGAGGAGGTGGGAGATGTTATACAAGGTATGGCTATCATTTAGTGAACTTATTGAGGATGACTTAGGCAATGAATTGATTAATAATGGATCACCCTAGACTGAAAGTGTTGTCATGGAATGTTAATGGTTTGAGAAACAGGGTTACAGATGTTCATTGTTATGTGATGGGAAATGATATTGATGTTGTGGCTCTCCAAGAGACAGGGGATAGGAATGAAGGATTATTGAAATTAAATGGCTATAAAGGGTTTCACCTCTTCGCTGCAAATAACATCAGAGGCACGTCGATTTATGTTAAGAACTCCATACCAGCAGAGTTAGTTGAACCGCCATCAAAAACGCAAGGTATAGAGAGTGTCTGTGTTAAATTATCATTAAGGGAAGGGGAATTTATTGTAGTTAATTTGTATGTATCCAGGAACTGCTTCGACGCTAACTATTTACCTGACTGCATTTATACTAATCCTTCACTGGTCATTGGGGACCTTAATGCTCGGCACACAAGCCTTGGGACAGTGGGTAGTATTAATGCTAATGGGGTCAAGTGGTTACAGTTTCTACAAGATCATCCAGATACCTGTCTATTGGGAAACAATGAACCAACTCACATCAGGGGAGGACGGCTTGACTATGCCTGCGTTTTAAACTCTCAGGGGATTATGGGGGAGGCTCGGGTTGTTCGGGAACTACTTAGTGACCACTTTGCCTTGAACGTTGAATTACCACTGGGGAAAAAACAAGTCCACTTTCAAAGGAAAAGGCTAAATATTAAGAAAGATATGAAAAATTATTTTATTCAAAATATGGGAGATTGGTATCAACATTACACGCCGCTCTGCGTTGATAGTTTTTACGAGGACATGGTCGAGAACATAGAGAAATTAGTACAGAGGGAAAATAACGGGGGCAGGGGAAGCAAGACGCACGGACCTAAGAAATTTAAATATTCCAATGATCAGCAAGTCAAGGGATGGGAGAGAATGCTACGGGGTGCGCATAAAGCATGGTTAAAAAATGGAATGAGGGATGAAGAGAAAAATACAATGTTGGAAGTGGCTAGGGAATGCAGTCAGGTGAGGAAGGAGGCGCGGGACAGATACTGGCAAGACTTTGCTCAGGCCATTGGTAATACTAAGAACCTTAAAGACATATGGAGAGCAGTAAATAAAGTCAGGGGTTGTAAGACTAAATTCATTGCTCACTCAGATCCAGGGAAAGTTGCTAATGAGTTAGTAGATAAATGGGCAAGTGCTGCTGGTATGGAGTCCTTACCTGCAGACACGAGAGTCACCATTGAGTCATGGGAAAATATTAGAAATGGAGTAACTTTATGTGCCTTAAATACAAGATCTATAGCATGCACTGAGATAACCCACGATGAGCTACTGGATGCTATAAAAAGTGGCAGCTCCACTGCTCCGGGAAAAGATGGAGTAACGTATGACATACTTAATTATTTAGCCGGTATGAAACCTAATCCCTTACTTGATTTGTTTAATATGAGTTATAGAGAGGGAAAGTTACCAAGAAAATGGAAAGAGGCTGTCATCATTCCTATCCCTAAGTCAAACGGAGGCTACAGACCTGTCTCCTTAATATCCTGCTTTTGTAAAATGATGGAAAGGATTTTGTTAAATAGGCTACTCTACCTTGTAGGTGATAACATGTCCAATAATCTCTTTGGTTTTATCAAAGGCAAAAGTACTGCGGATTGTCTCTTAAAGTGTTTGTCTAATGTGGATGACAATTGTAGAGTTTTTGTTGATCTACAAGGAGCGTTTGATAAAGCCAATGGGGAAGTAATCTTATACGAATTAGCCAATCTGGGAATAACAGGGAGATTGCTACACTGGATAAGGGATTACCTGCAAGGCAGAAAAGGTCAGGTGTATTACCAGGGATACATGTCTGAGGAACGGAGGTTTCAGTTAGGTACCCCACAAGGGGGAGTATTAAGTCCCACCTTATTCAATGTATTAATGAACAGATTAGCATCAGAGATGTATCCTCCAGGGGTCACGACGATCATATATGCTGATGACATTCTTATACAAGGCACTTCTGGGAACAAAATTCAAGATGCTCTTAACATACTTGGTACAACCTGTCACAAGTTAGGCTTAGTTATAAATGCAGATAAAACCAAATACGAGTATAGGAAACGAAGAAATATAACACTTACTCTAAATGGTGTGGAACTGAGCCGTGTACAGAAGTACAAGTATCTGGGCATGTATGTTGGATACACATGTGAGAGTAAAAATGCTGAAATAAATCATATCAGCACCTTATGTAAAGCCCGTCTGCATCCTCTAAAAGCACTGGCTTTTTCTGGTAAAGGTGTTGGGGTACCTATCTTGCGGATGTTATACATAAGCACTGTTCGATCCCTGATAGACTACGCAGCACCCGTATTGTCTTACACAGGCCAAGGCAGAATTCAAAAAATAGAGCTGATACAGAACGAGGCTATGAGGATTATTCTTGGATGTCAAAGAAATGCAATGATTGAAATAATGAGAATGGAATTAAATTTACAGAGTGTGTGTGATAGAGTCCGTGACATTAACACTAGAGTATCTATTCGTTTCATGCGGAGAAAAGGAGGGGATAAGCTGTTTGAGAGCGTTCAGACCTGCTTGAGTGACGTACACACTTCCAGGAAACTGAGGGAGACACGCTATACGAGAGGATTAGCTCATGACCTCAGGGAATACGACGTACTTGACTGCTGTAAACCCTCTCGAAAGTGTAATATGTCTGCTCCCTGGAAAGTACAGAAAATAGACGTCGAAATTGTACCCCTCAAGGTGAAAAAGATTCATCATGAACCGGGACAATTACGGTGTTTGTATGGAAGCATGATATCTCGGTTACCAAGAGGCAACAGTTTACATGTATATTGCGACGGGTCGGTGGCGGAGGATGGCAGGGCGGGGTGTGGTGTCCTAATAAGGGATTATACGGAGTTTGGGACTGTGGACAGGATAATTGAACTCCGGCTTAGTAATTATATATCATCCACACAAGCTGAACTGCAGGCCATTCTGGCGTGTTTGGAGGAAGTACGTCATGACGACAAAAATGTTTTTGTATTTGTCGATAGCCGAGGAGCACTGGAGTCCTTAAACAGTCGAAACCCAGTCTTCATGTCTATAGTGGAGGACTGTAAGAGAAGAATAACTGAGATACAGCTGAAAGGTTATAGTGTGAAATTCATGTGGATTCCATCTCATGTTGGAATAGTGCTCAACGAGGTGGCGGATGACTTGGCCAAACGTGCCACATCAAAACCACAAGTTGACATTGAATGTGAATTCACAATGAGACAAATAAGAAGCAAAATCAGAAATATTCAGGCACAGGCGGGAGTGGAGAGGAGAGAGATAATGTATGAGAGTAGTCAAACCATGCAACACTACATGTATGTGAGTCAAAACACCCATTTCACTTATGGTAAAAGGAGAAATGCTTGGAGTGACTCTGTGTACATGCGGCTCAGGCTTGGGTACAAATATTACTGGGAATATGGGATAGATGTTCATGGTAATGACACGAAGTGTAAACTATGTGGTATGTTAAGGTCTCACACCCTTGCCCATTATATTCTTGATTGTCCGTTGATTAGTGTATATAGAAACACTGAGATAAGGACTGTTCCTGAACAAATAGCCTGGATGTGTCACAACGGAAAGGTTGATGATATTCTTGAGAGATATAAGAATTTTGCACCAAGATTGTAATATTTTGTTGAATTATCTGCAGGTGTCTTGCAAATTGTCTATACAGTATACCTAGGTCATAAAAGTATTTATGTGTACGTCTGATAACATACTACTTGTGAAGGAGGAAATGTATATGTTTACCTCTCAGAATGTTTGGTAATATGTTTATTTGTGATGTGTGTCTATGTATATATTAACACGTTGTACTGAATGGGGTGAGAATAGCTTGAGCTACCTCATCCCTTTGTGTGTATTTTACCTCAATAAACGTATTTCAATTTCAATTCAATTCAATTTCTCCACCTGCTCCACTCCACCAAGACCTTCTCCGCCTGCTCCACTCCACCAAGACCTTCTCCACCTGCTCCACTCCACCTTTCTTAACCTTTTAAACTATTACAAACTTTCTTCTTTAACATTTGTATATGTATATATGTATATATATATATATATATATATATATATATATATATATATATATATATATATATATATATATATATATATATATATAAATTATATATAAATTGAAATATATATTGTAATATTGAGAGAAAAAATATGAATTAAAGCCTAATATATATATATATATATATATATATATATATATATATATATACATATATATATATATATATAATTATTATTATTATTATTACGGTTACGTAATAATTAGTAGCAGAGTTACGGTTCAATAGACATTGGGCAGAGGCAAGGCTCCTTTTAATGATGTTATTGACTTCGTAAAATACAAATATATATATATATATATATATATATATATATATATATATATATATATATATATATATATATATATATATATATATAGGGAGTACAACCACTGGCTGGAAGAAGGCGACCCTTAGCCTCGGAGCAAACCACACACAACGCATTAGAGGGAATGTTTAGGTCCCCTCCAATACAGTTTCTGTGTGCTTTTCTCCTACCACCCCTTTCCTTTTTATTATTTTTTTTTTGCTTTATTGTGTATTTAATGGTTACAAGATATACATTGACTGATACAAAGAGTGCTTAGAGGTTATTGATCTCTTGAAGCTCCTCCGCTTCCGGAGGAGCATACGTCAGGCTGCGAGCAGCCGCGTCTAACAGCCTGGTTGATCAGTCCAGCAACCAGGAGGACTGGTCGACGACCGGGCCGCGGGGACACTAAGCCCCGGAAGCACCTCAAGGTAGGTAGCTTCCGGACAGGAACCGAGGACGCAGCAGGCGTTTCCCCTCTGGATCGCCACACTGAGACGCTGAAACAAAAAACTGGCAGCTCTTAGGTCTCTGGTGTCAATGACCAGGCGATGAGTCACAATAACGTGGCTAAAGTATGTTGACCAGACCACACTAGAAGGTGAAGGGACGACGACGTTTCGGTCCGTCCTGGACCATTCTCAAGTCGAAACGTCGTCGTCCCTTCACCTTCTAGTGTGTGGTCTGGTCAACTGATGTCAATGAGCTTGGAGCCCAATTCCTTGATAAATCCCAAGGCACTCTTGCTCTGCTCTGACTCCATCATTGATTAATTCATTAAATCTGTGTCTAGCGTCAGACACAAGCATGTCACCGTTATTCCTTGGGGAGCTGAGTGCAGTCAAGGATGACAAAGAGTCAGCAAATTAAATGTTTAAAATGAGAAAGAACTGTTTTGGAAGTGAACTTACAACTGCCGTCATTTCCTGTGGGTTACTGTCCCCTCCTAGTCTAGCCGGGGCATGACTGGTACACAGGACCGTCACTCCACATTCCTTTAAGGCTGACTTATATGTGGGGTTATGATGTGGATGTGTGAGGATAGATAGTATCGGTGTACATGGGTGGGGGTAGGCAGTGAATCTCCAAAGGTATTTTGGATAAAAGTTTACATCAATACAGTCCTTGTAAACTCAAAAGTAAATTGAACAAATGATGTTATATAATTTTCTATATTACAAAAATCCGTAAATGAATTCACAAGAAGATCTATTAAAGATGTCTACGCCAACTCAGGCAGCATACGAAACCAGTTCTCTAACCTCGAGAATCTTGTCATACAATATAACTTGGTCATTATAGCCATAATAGAATTATTATTAGATACAGAGAATACTATTGCAGAGAATACTATTAAATACAGACTACTATCAAATACAGACTATACTATTAAATACAGACTACTATCAGATACAGACTATACTATTAGATACAGATTATACTGTTAGATACAGACTATACTGTTAGATACAGATTATACTGTTAGATACAGACTATACTGTTAGATACAGATTATACTGTTAGATACAGATTATACAATCAGACCGAGTACGCAGTTACAGTATACATATTTTACTAGTTAAAGAAAAATAAGCTGACTTTGTAGTCTGGCTGATAGTCATGGCGCCGTATGCAGAGAAATCAGTGATAATTGACATACTTGTCGGGCCGCCCGCACAACCGTTCCATATCAATATGTATGTATATGACCAAATAGCAGAAATGTGGAGTGAATGTGAAGTCATTATAATTGGGATTTTAATTTGTCAGTGTTGAAATATGGCGAGTCACTATAACTTTATGACAAAATTTGTACCGTACTTTATTGGAAAGTTTGCTTATTCAAGCGGCAAATAAATCTACTCTGAAAGCAAATGTCGTAGATCTAATGCTAACAACTAATGGGGAGTTAATATTACTATATTGGTGGGTGAAGAGTTATTTTCAAGTGATCGCCAAGTTGCATTCAGTATAAATCTAATAATGAAACTAGTAGTACTTGCAAAAAAAAAAAAGTTTAAGAATTTTGTAAATTCAAATTTTACACAAAATACGGTAAGAACTTTGATTCCTAGAATGGAATACATGACACGGAGAGAGCGTAGAAGTAGTTTAAGACTTCTTGTAATTATTGCCTAATCAGCTTGACGTCGGTGATTGGTTAATTCACGGAGGCAACGATTCCTGGTCACATAGTGAACCAGTTAATAACAGCCTACCATACCAACCTGCCGGGTAGAAGATTGTCAGCACTGTCCCCCCCCCCCTCCCCCTAGCAATCGTTCATGTTTGATAAATCTTCCCGATTTCCTTTATATCATTTATAACGTATTCGACACAATCAGGCCAGCAGACATTATGACTCAGGAGGTTTAGAAGGTATCCTATAGTGACTCGTCCGACAATACTTATGTAACAGTGTTATTTAACCATCATATTTTACGTCGTTTGGGAATTGCTTACGTTGAGGGTATCAGGATAAGTAGGGATGGCGTGAAGGGCAGTATTTTGTTAGGAAAGATCCAGTGGTGTGAAGCCCGTGAAGGTTTGTAAGTAGTGGACGATAACAGCGAGAGTGTGTGACGCCTGGGTAAACCCCAGTGTCATCACCCCGTGGAGGTGTTGGCCATCATGTGAAGACCTCCACGTCGTCCCACACCTAAAATAAAATATGGCTCCTGGAGTTTATAATGGACTGCAGAAAAAAAAGTATTTGTTTTTGTTTTGTTTTTAAACAAACACCTGGTCATTTATACAGTTACCCTAGACAGTAGGAAGAGTAGGTCCTCTTCCCCCATCATTTCAGAGGATAGTGGTACAGGAGTGATCACACACCCCACTGAGGCACACTGGGGGGTGTGATCAGTGGAGGGTAAAGCCGAGTGGCGAGTGTGAGCAGGACGCTGAGCTCAGTGAGATGACACACTGACGCTCTCGGGGCCGTCAAGGGTGAATGTCTGGTGTGTTATGTGGAGGAGGAGGAGACAGGGCCGCGGGGGTATTCATCCACGGAGCCAATAATACAGAAGGTGGGTAGGGGTGAGAGAGACAGTGTATGTGTAGTGTTTTGATAATAAGGGCTGAGAGGGTAGTAGTATTTAAGTTGTAATCTGGCGGTGAGAAGATTGGAGTTGAGTTTTACCAATATGTTGAATAAATACAAGAGGCGCAGTTGGTAGAGCCAGATGAGCTGACTAGCAGGAAGGGATTGGAGAGAGAGAGAGAGAGAGAGAAAGGAAGGGGGTGGGAGGAGGAAGGGTTACAAAAATGCATCTGGTGAGAAAACCAGCTATCCTTTAAAGTAATTGGTTGGGAAAAAGAAGCTTAGTAAAACAATTATATTCTTATAGATTCAAGTGGTAAAGGTATTCCATGGTTATCTTCAGGAGAGAGGAGCAACAGCTGGAGTAACACAGGCCAGATACAGGTGGTGAGAATAACAGCTGGCTAGATTAAGCCCGGATTAGCTGCAGGTGGTCAGAGTAAGAGTGAGAATAAGCCCGGGGTCGGTCAGGGTAACACGTGGAGGTTATATCTAGGTCAGCTGAGAGTAGCAGCTGGTCACTGTAACCCCAGGTCACTGTAACCCCAGGTCACTTACAGGAGGTGAGTGACGTAACAGTAGAAGCTGCGTTTGTAGGAGGCGAGTGACGCAATGGTAGAAGCTGCGTTTGTAGGAGGCGAGTGACGCAACGGTAGAAGCTGCGTTTGTAGGAGGCGAGTGACGCAACAGTAGAAGCTGCGTTTGTAGGAGGCGAGTGACGCAACGGTAGAAGCTGCGTTTGTAGGAGGCGAGTGACGCAACAGTAGAAGCTGCGTTTGTAGGAGGCGAGTGACGCAACGGTAGAAGCTGCGTTTGTAGGAGGCGAGTGACGCAACAGTAGAAGCTGCGTTTGTAGGAGGCGAGTGACGCAACAGTAGAAGCTGCGTTTGTAGGAGGCGAGTGACGCAACGGTAGAAGCTGCGTTTGTAGGAGGCGAGTGACGCAACAGTAGAAGCTGCGTTTGTAGGAAGCGAGTGACGCAACAGTAGAAGCTGCGTTTGTAGGAAGCGAGTGACGCAACAGTAGAAGCTGCGTTTGTAGGAGGCGAGTGACGCAACAGTAGAAGCTGCGTTTGTAGGAGGCGAGTGACGCAACGGTAGAAGCTGCGTTTGTAGGAGGCGAGTGACGCAACAGTAGAAGCTGCGTTTGTAGGAGGCGAGTGACGCAACAGTAGCTGCGTTTGTAGGAAGCGAGTGACGCAACAGTAGAAGCTGCGTTTGTAGGAAGCGAGTGACGCAACAGTAGAAGCTGCGTTTGTAGGAAGCGAGTGACGCAACAGTAGAAGCTGCGTTTGTAGGAAGCGAGTGACGCAACAGTAGAAGCTGCGTTTGTAGGAAGCGAGTGACGCAACAGTAGAAGCTGCGTTTGTAGGAAGCGAGTGACGCAACAGTAGAAGCTGCGTTTGTAGGAAGCGAGTGACGCAACAGTAGAAGCTGCGTTTGTAGGAAGCGAGTGACGCAACAGTAGAAGCTGCGTTTGTAGGAAGCGAGTGACGCAACAGTAGAAGCTGCGTTTGTAGGAAGCGAGTGACGCAACAGTAGAAGCTGCGTTTGTAGGAAGCGAGTGACGCAACAGTAGAAGCTGCGTTTGTAGGAAGCGAGTGACGCAACAGTAGAAGCTGCGTTTGTAGGAAGCGAGTGACGCAACAGTAGAAGCTGCGTTTGTAGGAAGCGAGTGACGCAACAGTAGAAGCTGCGTTTGTAGGAGGCGAGTGACGCAACAGTAGAAGCTGCGTTTGTAGGAAGCGAGTGACGCAACGGTAGAAGCTGCGTTTGTAGGAAGCGAGTGACGCAACAGTAGAAGCTGCGTTTGTAGGAGGCGAGTGACGCAACAGTAGAAGCTGCGTTTGTAGGAGGCGAGTGACGCAACGGTAGAAGCTGCGTTTGTAGGAGGCGAGTGACGCAACAGTAGAAGCTGCGTTTGTAGGAAGCGAGTGACGCAACAGTAGAAGCTGCGTTTGTAGGAAGCGAGTGACGCAACAGTAGAAGCTGCGTTTGTAGGAGGCGAGTGACGCAACGGTAGAAGCTGCGTTTGTAGGAGGCGAGTGACGCAACGGTAGAAGCTGCGTTTGTAGGAGGCGAGTGACGCAACAGTAGAAGCTGCGTTTGTAGGAGGCGAGTGACGCAACAGTAGAAGCTGCGTTTGTAGGAGGCGAGTGACGCAACAGTAGAAGCTGCGTTTGTAGGAGGCGAGTGACGCAACAGTAGAAGCTGCGTTTGTAGGAAGCGAGTGACGCAACAGTAGCTGCGTTTGCAGATGGGATGTTGACATTAGTCTGTGACAAGAGTGGTGACAATGAGACATGAACATCCGGACCGAGATGGGCATCTTGTGTCATGAAGTCCGGCAGGAGTTACAGGCGATGAGTCGTTTGGTTTAACGAGTCCTGTGGAGGTACAGGTGATTAGTTGTGTAGTGCGTGCTGTAGGTCAAGATGCTCAGGTTGATGGTATGAAGGAGTTGGCTGTGTGAGGCGGCGAGTTGATTATAATGTGTTGTAACGGTGCGAGGAGTGTGCGCTCTCATTACAAATTATCGTATTGGCCGGCGGACGCCACCCACGTTATATATATCAATTGAAACAGGAATTTCCTTCAGTACTTTCGTATATTAATACATCTTCAGAAGGAGTCTGATGGAAGGAAATTCCTGTTTCAATTTTCCTCCGTGGTCTGACACTGTCACATTTTTATCACGTGTTTATATTTCGTGATTTACACACACTATATATTATATATAATCTGCATGCACAAAATCACAAGAGTGCCCCGACAAAACGACTTAAGCATCACTTTCAAAAAGTTTATAATGAAACACAGGAAGAATGTCGTGACGGTAAATGACTAAGAGCAGTGGCTAAGGGCAGATGGAATGCAATGCACATATAAAAAAAGTAAAAACAAATTAAAATAAAACTGCTATGTTGACTTCTGCACGGTGTGGTAACTGCAGGATAAAATACAAAGCCTGGAAAAATTTTAATTCTTTACTTATGAAAAAAGTAGAGTAGAACTCCTCCCAGAACGCTCTCCAGGTATACAAGAACATGATGTATCTGAAGAAAGGTTAAGGCCATGCCATGGGAAGCCAGAAGTCCAGGGTTGTGATACCTGGTTGATGGGCGTCTGGGAGTTCTTCTACTCCCCAAGCCAGGCTTGACTTGTGAGAGTTTGGTCCACCAGGCTGTTGCTAGGAGCGGCCCGGAGGCCCACATGCCCACCACAGCCCGGTTGGTCCGGCACGCTTTTTAAAAAACAGTCTAGATTTCTCTTGAAGATGTCCACGGTTGTTCCGGCAATATTTCTTATAGTCGCTGGGAGGACGTTGAACATTCTGCGAGCTTGATTCCATCGCATGGCTTCAATTGTGTGTTTTTTAATAGTGTTTTCATCTCAAGAATCACATTCCTGAAATGCATTCATTGTTTATAACAAAAAATGTAAAACAATTGCCAAACTGTGGAGACGGTTCGCACTAGCACCACACACAGTCATGTGTTTTGAGCCGGGATCGTTACGGCAGAAAGATCGTGGCCAATGAACTTATGGAGGAACCGGAAGCCATCAATATGCTGATGTTGTATACACAGGCTTTGCTCAGGCATTTGATGAATGTTGATCCGCTCGCATACGTCAGGCCGTGAGCAGCTGCGTCCAACAGCCTGATTGACCAGATGACCAACCGGGAGACCGGGTCGCGGGGCCGTTGATCCCAGGAAGCTACAGAAGGTAGTCACTAGGTAGGTATCCTGGAAGGGTTAACCATAAAATGTGAAGGCTAAGGGAACAGAAGGTAATGTAGCTAGGTTTATTTTTAATGTTCAAACAAATGGCTAAGAGTGATAGTAAATGTAGCCAAACTTTTCCCACAGTACAATACAAAGGTCAGTCCTACGAGGCAAAGGTCAGTCCTACGAGGCAGGAGCCTCACACGGTTACCTATCCTCATCCGCATGAAAGATTTTAGATAGAAATACAACCCAAAGTTTGGTGTCATCCTTCGCTGGCGATACCAAAATGAGTATGAAATTGCATCACTGGAAGATAGAAAAATTACAACCAGGTGTAAATATGGTCTTACAGTGGGCAGCGGTGAGAAAATTAGAATAGTTTGGTACGGTTAAAATGAATACCTTAAAAGGAGTAGAGGATACAAGACTCGTCAGATCTCTTCCTAGAACGGAGTGAGCAAGTCAACCATCTGAGAATAATAATGTCATATGACCAAACGTTTAGAGAACACAATAAAACAAACATTGCAACAACCAGGAAAATTCTGGGGTGGAGCCGGTCGGCCGAGTGGACAGCACGCTGGACTTGTGATCCTGTGGTCCCGGGTTCGATCCCGGGGGCCGGCGAGAAACAATGGGCAGAGTTTCTTTCACCCTATGCCCCTGTTACCTAGCAGTAAAATAGGTACCTGGGTGTTAGTCAGCTGTTACGGGCTGCTTCTTGGGGGTGGAGGCCTGGTCAAGGGCCGGGCCGCGGGGACACTAAAAAGCCCCGAAATCATCTCAAGATAACCTCAAGATAACGGAGACACTTGTAAACTAAGGGATGGCACTCTCGTGGTATCCCTTCAAGTACTCAAGTACATCCCCTTCAGTACTCTTCAAGTTACCGGTGTTCTCTCACGTGGAGTACTGTTGTGTGCTCCCATTTCCTCTCAGAGCAAGCGAGATATTTGTGCGGAACCTAGACTCAGTTAAGCATTTAAACTACAGGGACAGTTTCTCGGAGACGAGAGTGGGTGAGTTGTGAATAATTGGGAGGTCTGGAGCGTGTCACCAAGCCCTCTAGTTCCCCATGCAAAATATAATGTCAAGTTTGCCTTTCAGTGATTGCTGTTTGAGTAATTTTAAGTTGCCATTTAGGTGTTTGAATGAAGAGTTAGGTATTTGAAGGAGTGTATACAGAGCAATAGATATACAGATGTAGTTGAGTAGTAATAACGAGGATGAACTCTTGAGTAATTGGTATAAATGGC